ACAGCACCAAAGGAAGTCACTCCCTAACCTGGAGGCAAGTCTGGTGGCCTCTGCAGCAGGGCAAAAAACCATCAGGCTGACCTGAAAGCTGCTCGTGAGCTGTCTGGACCTGTCAGTGTGGCCTCCTTCGCCATCTGGCCCTCAGCACTGTGTTCTACACCAGAGTCTCCCACATGGTGAGATGCTTGGGAGAGAGAAGTGGAGGGGACAGGGAGATGCCGTGTGCCAGGCACTGTGGAGGTGTCCAGGTAGCAAAGGCACTGTCCATTAAGGAGCAGCTGAGGCTGTTGGGGAATGGGACACAAGCCCCCAAACAGAGAAATGCCACAGGCACAACAGACCAAGTGTCAAGGGGACAGGACAGGGGGATGAGGCATGTTCTCGCTAAGAGGAGGGAAAAGACAGTTGACTGCTGCAGATGCTCAGAGGAGAGCTGAAGGAAAAGATAGAACCTAAACCGTGTTGGGGGGAAGGCAAGTGAAGAACAAAGACAAGGGAAGGGAGAGATTTTAGGCTCAGGAAAAGTGGTCAGCCTCAGTTTCCTCATCTGTAATGTAGGAATAATAATAGTACTCTCCATCCTAGGTTTGTGAGGATTAAGTAAATTAATGTATATAAAGCATTCCGGAACAGTGCCTGGCAAATGGTAAATAATAAATGCTATCTCTTTTTTCTGTCAGGAAGATGACTGGTTAGGAGGTTGCATTACAAGTTTTTGAGGAAAAGAATATATACATACACAGAAAGAAGAAGATATTGTTACTGAGAGCAATGAATAGGGTGTTGGAGCACATGAATCCAGTTCTGGTTCCGCCACTAAGTAGTGCTGTAACAGTTAGTGAATCCCATGACACCACCAGGAGTCTGTGTGTAGTCCAAGGTCCCTTCCAAATTCTGCATTGCAAAGTGATGTAAACTTGGGCTCTGGTGGTAACAGTGACCATGGAAAGGAAGGGAAAGCTGTGACTTCTTGGCCACTGCTTGGGTCATGAGGGACCAGATGAAAGGAGACACCAGAGAAAATTCCAGGGTTTGAGCCAGGATGGGGAAGTAGAGAAGAGAACAAGTTTCAGAAAGAAAGGTGACCTTAGTTTGGATATACTGAATTTAAGATAAGAGTAACACATCCCAGTGGGCATAAATGTCCAGGAGATGGTTAGAAATGTGGACCTTGATTCTAGGAACTATTTGCAGGGCAATAATTGGAAGGCATGAGAATGGATGCCACCAAATCTTCAATGTGACTCTGAGTGATCTGCCTCTGATGTCCTATGGCCCAGAATGTGACCTGGATGGCTGGGACATATGTGGGTGAAAAGAAAGGGTGGTGAAAGTAAATGCTGGAATCAACAGAAATGGAAATTTGTGGCTGACCCTTAGAAGCTTGGGGATCAGCACACAGGGACACTTGAATGAAATGTTCACAGGAGATCCCACTTTCGAAGAAGTTGTCAGTGGAAGGTTGCAGCTTTGTCCCTGGTCTCTGCATCAGTTCTGGGTCCTACTCTGGCCCTGGCAGAAAGCCAACCCACTTCCCTCCAGATTGCCCCAGCTGCTGCTACAGGCTTGCTTTCTCTTCTCTTTCCCTCGCTTCTCCCTTCAGGGGGCCTCTGGTAATCTGAAAAATCATCCCAGCCATCTTATCGCTGCCCAATCGTCACCTATTCCCTCTCCTGCCCCTTGAAGTTTAAAAATCTGTTGTAAAATTCAAGCGTGTCAAGTAAAAAATGTTGGCTTTGAAATACACTTGCAGTAGGTTGCATTTCATTTAGTCTTTTATTAGGAGCCAAAACCTAGGAGCTGACATGAATGTTTGTGAGGTCACAAAGCAATCGGTGGCTCTGAGTTCATCGGGGAGGAAAATTCCCATTGCTGGCTTGAAAGTGGGCAAGCAGGCTGCAATGGAGATGAAGGTTAAGTAGAAGGCAGTGCTGGCAGTGATGTGGCAGTGGTGGTGGTGGTGGTGGTGTTGGCAGGCAGCCATAAATATCCAAAGCAATTGGCAAGAGTTTCCGACACCAAAAAAGGCTAAGTTCCTGGGGCACCAGGACAGGATTTATTTTACAACCTCTCCAAGAGGGGGGATTTCCAAGGATTGAGTGCCAGTGGGAAATCTTGGCCATACTAGGCAACTAACTCATTCATTCAACCATCACTGACAGAGCAATGAGCTCATGTTTCCAGGGCCAGGACAGCCAGGGGGCAATAAGGAGCATTTTATGTGTAACCTCTCTGTCAGAGGACTGAATATTGGGAGGGAAAAAAGGTAGAATAATGTGAATTGGACCTTGGGTCATGTCAACCCAGATGGGAATCTGGGAAGCTTGTGGGGAGTCTTGAGCAAAAGTCCACCCTTCTCCAAATGCATACACTTTCCTTTTCCTTCCAACCCTTCCTCTAGCTATAATACTATAGAGCATGACCTCCCTGGACATAGTCCCCCCTTTCCCAGGTCTTGTTGATTTCTCACTCCTGAGCCTAATCCTAGCCTCACGTCCTTTCCTTGAAAATGTCACACTAATCAGAGATTCAGCTCTACAATTGCCACCCCCATCATCCCCACAAGTCCCCCCAGGGTAAGGCTTCACCCATCTCACTTCCCACACACTATTCTGTCCAAGTTTTTTTCAAGATTTGTCAGTTCTTAGTCGAGTCTAGTTCAGCCCTGGAGACCATTTTTTAATCTCAGTTCTTCCAGGCACTAGGCCAAATGACCCATTCAAGGCTGATAAAGACTTGCTGACCTAGGCACAGGAAGTTCTCGGAGGTGAAGGACATTTCTGGGTGGCTCTAAAACAAATCCTTTTCTGCTTGTCACTTATCCTAGGACAGCTTATTGAGTCAACAGTCTGACATGGAATGTAGAATGGAGGTAAGAGGAATAGGTGAAACTGTCTTTAACCAGTTGTGGAAACCTGGCCAAATCAATTACCTTCTGGGCCTCAGTTTCCTTCTTTATAAAATGATTTGAAGGCTCCCTCAGCTCTGACAGTCTAGGATACTATGCACCTGGGTCAGTTGGTTTTAGGACAGTATTGGAAATCTGAAACACTTCTAAAGCCTTCTCTCATGTTCATTTTCAGTCTAGAATGTTTAACTTCCAGGGTCAGCCTAAGGGTAGGGCTTATTTTAAAAAGGGAGGTCTAGTTCTGATTCAACAGTAGACATAAGTGTCTGGTTGGGCTTGGATCTGCTTCAAATTTCTAGGAGACATGAAGCATATTGATGTGTAATCCTTAAAATTTAGACCCTCACTCTCCCAGAACAGAGCTGAGAACAGACTGCTCACTGAGGCATGCCTAAGGGAGTACCTATCTGGGGTTTCACCAATGTTATGTGGAGGGAATGTGGGCTTGGGATTCTAAATATGAAACTTGGCCGGGCATAGTGGCTCACGCCTATAACCCTAGCACTCTGGGAGGCCGAGGTGGGAGGATTGCTTGAGCTCAGGAGTTCAAGACCAGCTGGAGCAAGAGCGAGACCCCGTCTCTCCTAAAAATAGAAAACATTAGCCGGATGTGGTGGCTTGAGCCTGTATTTCCAGCTACTTGGGAGGCTGAGGCAGGAGGATCCCTTGAGCCCAGGAGTTTGAGGTTGCTGTGAGCTAGGCTGATGCCACAGCACTCAAGCCAGGGCAACAGAGCAAGACTCTGTCTCAAAAAACAAAACAAAACAAAAAAACCCCAAAATACAAACAAGAAACTGAAAATAAATAAATAAATAAGAAATGTTTGGGAAATATTGAGTGGGGGCTGGGAGTTAGATAGGGGAGGCCAGGAGAACTACAGACTACTAAAGGCAGAGAATGTGCTTAGGAGCCACTGGGCTCAAGCATGAGGGCAAACTGCTAATGGTCCAGGCCAGGCCAGGGAAGCCCACTTTGGGCCAGTGCATCCCCAGCTCAGAGCACACACACAGCAAGTTGGTCCCCTGTCCCAGCCCCATGGCAGCTCCTGTAGAGTTTTCTTTGGCTCAGAGAAGCAGAGGCCTCCCCTGAGCCCCGGCCCCCTCCCCCCCCACTACCGCAAAGCAACTGGCTTCCATTACCCCTGACAGCTCCAGAGCAACAGCCCAGCCCCCGGCCCCAGCCTGGCTCTGTGCCGTTCCCTTTTATGGTGAAGCTGAGAGAAAGCAAGGAGCGAGGGGGAAGAAGCTGCTGGCTGGGCATATGGTTGTACAGTTCCAGGGTGCCTCCTTCCTCGCCAGAGACCCTAGGTCCTGTACCTGCCGCCACCTATCTTTTTTCTCCTCGGCGACCCACTCTGCCCCGAACCCACGACCCCTCTTGCTTGGCCCAACCCTCCTTCCCCTTCACCATTCCCCTCTTCCTCCTCCCTCACATCCGGGGGGGTGATTTCCCACTTGGCTGAAGTCCTACGGTTTGAGTTTTGATTCCGGGAGGGTCCACCCTATTTCCGACGCCCACCTCGGGGGGAGCCCGGGTAAGACAGGCACTGGTCAGACCACAGGCAGGATCGTTCTACTTGGTTGGATGTGGGTCAGAAAGGCTGGCGCCGGAGAGAGGAGCACTCGGCAGCCCTGGGCCTGTCCCCATTCTACCGCGCCTCCCACCTCCCACCCCCGTCCCCGCTGCCCGAGCCAGGGCGGGAACACTGAGGGCAGGACCCAAAGGAAGCACCTGGCTGGGCCGGGCCGGGAAGCGAAGGGTGGGCAGCAGTTTGGGGGGCTGGGGCAGGAAAGAGTTGGAGCCGAGTATCCCGCCCGGCCCCGCCGCCGCACCCTCGCCCTAGCCCACTCCTGGGCTCGGGGAAAGCGGCCACCGCAGCGTAGCTAACCCGGTCCCGGGCCGCGCCAGCTACGGCCAGCTGCGGCCAGCTGTGCGGTGCTGAGGCCCGCCCCACCCGAGTCTGGCCCTCCCACCGCAGCCCCGCCCGAGACGCCGCCCCAGACCCGGCCCCTGGCGAGGGCGGGCGCGACGCGCGGAGCAGGCGAGACGGCGGGCTAGAGAGGCCGTTCGACCGCGCCGCCCGGCCGGAAGTGGCTGGTTTGAGACTATGCTGGCTCTACGAAGTTCCGGCCCGGGTTTCCTACCTCTGGCTTGTGCGCTGAAGGCGTTGGAGCCGAGCGGAGCTGATCAGGTGAGAGGCACGCAGGCGCCGTCCCATGGCCGGCGCTGCTGTGGCTGGCCTGTGGGGGCGAGGACGGGTCCTTGTGAGGGCGGGGAGTGCGCCGGTCCAAGGCTCAGTCCCTCCTCTTCTCCGCAGGATGATCACGGACGTGCAGCTCGCCATTTTCGCCAACATGCTGGGCGTGTCGCTTTTCTTGCTTGTCGTTCTCTATCACTATGTGGCCGTCAACAATCCCAAGAAGCAGGAATGAAAGTGGCGCTTTCGCCGCCCCAGGTAATGGTCCGGGGCTGTAGCGCCCAGCCCCCAAAGAGCCGAGTGGTGAGGCCACGCCAGGGCCTGCAGGGTTCGAAACTTCAAATCAGAAAGTGTCGGGCCAAGCATGATATAGTCCAGAAGAACTGGGCCCTTTATCCACACAGAGAGTGCCTTGCCCCCTCCCCCTAAATTGCTCCTTGCTAGAATGGGAGTGGGTTTCTAATCCTCCTCAGTACCCATCTTCTGTGGTCCCCAGTAGGTAGATGCCCAAGTTGGGGTAGGGTTACAAGGAGGCACTGACACCGATAGGAACAAAAGTACTGAGAATACCCTCCAAATTGAGGATTTGGGCTCTTCACTTAAATAGCCCTCATTTTCCCGTTGTTTTAGCCTTATTTACGCAGAATTTTTTGGTGAGGGGGTGAAAGATGTAGAACTCTATTTCCGTGTTCTGAGGCCAGGGGCACTGATTGAGGGTTTAGCTACTGTAGACCATAGAGAAGTGGGGGGAGGGAGGGGAAGGGGCCTGGGAACCAAGTTTAAGTGTGGGTCAAAAATGTAAAGGGGAACAGGGTGAATGGGAGTTGACTCCCAAAGGATTCCCCAGAGGAAAGCTGCAGCATTTTCCTTACCTCAGGTCTTTCCCCCTCTTTTCTAGGGTTCCAGGACATAGTCTGAGGCAAGATGGAGGGTGTGAGGGGCCTTCACACTTCACTTCATCCCTTCTACCCATCACAACATACAAAGCAACTACACCTGGATTTTTCCAAACAACTTTTATTTCCTCAAAGTCTTCCTTAACCCTATGGAACAAGAAGCTGCCACTGAATAGGGCCCAGTGTAGGGGCTGCTTTCTTTTCTACTCCCTCCCCCCAATATAAAAATATAGATAATATTTTTTTGTGGTCCCAAAATCTTGTGCTGTGGAGGGAGGGAAGGGGTGGCAGGTTCCTGTTTTGTCCCATCTCAAGGTGATGCTCTGCAATGCCACAGTGTGGCTTGCATTCCAAGGAGTTATGGTTGTCACATGGAATCAGCAGCTGAGGGAGGGGACTGGCATATTTCTCACTGTGTTTCCCCATCTTAGGGGTATACCCTGGGCACGAATGTAAGAGCATTATCAGACCCGGGGAGAAACAGTCAGTAGGGGAGATTTAGGGACAAAACAAACCTCAGGTTGGCCCAAGGGCCCCCCACTGTAACAAATCCGGGATGGGGAGTCAGACAGACTACAGGAGATAGGAGAAAAGGCAGGGGCAGAGCGGGGCCGTGGGGGCCCGGCCTGAGGCAGCCTGCAACAGAGAAGAGAGAGGAATCAGGATAGTGAAAACTCTGCCCCTCTTCTGGTCTGTTAGCCAGAGGCTGGCAGGGGAAAGGTGGAGAGAGATTAAGAAGGGTAGGGATAGCCAGGGTGGTTACAGCACAGTGGTCTGATGCTGGAACCAGCCAGCTCCTAGGCCTTAGGCCCTAACTAGATGTTGCTTTTTTGTCTTTGGGAGTGAAGAATGAGGCCATGGTGGGAAAAAAAAATCAGGGACTAAATTCTTAATGAAAGTACATTTAGTCTTTGGGGTCAAAGGCAGTAGAGAAGGAAGAAAATTATATTCGAATGACAGAAATGGGAATGAGGGCCTAGAAGTCAAGGGTGGAGTGGGGAACTAGACCCTGATGCTCACCCTGGTGTAGCAGAGCGGGGTCCCGGCTCCGGCTCACTGCTCTCTCTGGTCCGGGGGATAGGGGATGTGGGGCCTGAAGAGCCTCTCATCCCTCTGCAAGTCGGCGGTGAGCCCCGGCCCAACCTGGGCCTAGCCTGTGAGGACAGGGGGTGGGCTAAGCCGCTGGATTTTTCCATGAGCTTTTTTGCTTCTAGGTTTGCTTCTAGAGTTTCCATGCATAAGAATGTAGTATAGGGATCAACAGAGGTACCAGGACCTTGAATTCCTGGGTACTGTCTGAGGGGGTGAGGTAGGATAACAGCCAGAGAACTCCTAGATTCAATTCACAACTGTGCACTCCAAGTCTTAACTAGGGGTAGCAAAAGGATCCAGCATTTAATCTCTGTGGCTATCTCCATTTAATCTCCAAGGTCTGGCTGAGTAGAGAAGCAATATGTAGAAAGATGGTAGAGGGTTGGTAGATGTCCCTCAGAGCCTTCTATGCCTCAGCCCCTGCCAGAACAGCTTAAGCTTCACCCATCCAGTCAGCTTCTGCCTATATTCAACTTTAGCTAACCTAGCATGGGGATTTGGACTGAAGTGGAGTTGGTGACTGTTCCTAGGAGCAGCAACCAGATGTGTTACCTGGGGAATCCGGGACCCCTCCTGGCGGAAACTCTCCTCGGGCAGGTCTGGGCAGAAAGAGAGGAGAAGCTAAGGGCAGGGGCAGGGAAAGCCAAAGCTAGCAGGCTGAGGTTGGGATGCATCTGACAGGGACATGGGTTGGAAGCAAGCAAGAGACCTGGCTGGTGGGGATGGTGGGAGGAGGAGGCACTGGACAGGCATGCACTCAGGCACCAGAGCAGCTCTCTGATATGGCTGGGGGTAGAGCCTGTAGAGAAGTGCTGAGCATTGTCCCCCACCACTACCCAGAGGAACAGCGCCTTGCTGGGTTCTGCCAGAGTTGTTATGCTAGGGACTGGGGAAGACCCAAAAATGTTACCTGTAATCGAGTCCTGATGCAGGGGATTCGAGCTCCAGTCCCTAGCAGACCTTTCCCAATCACCATGACAGCCTCTGGCTTGTCCCCTGAGGACATAAGTGGGCAGCTGCTCCCTAGAGAACGGAGGAAAGTGGTCATCAGGGTAGGGGCCACAGAGAAGAGCAAGTAACTTCCTTTAGATGAGGGTTTCTCAACCTTGGCACTATTGACATTTTGGGTTGGATAATTCTTTGTTGTGGGGAGCTGTCTTGTGCATTGTAGGATGTTTACCAGCATCCCTAGCCTCTAACCAATATATGCTATTTCCTCCTCTGCCCCCTCCCCAGTGTAACTACTAGAAATGTCCCCAGATGTTGCCAAATATCCCCTGGGGTGCAAAATTGACCCTGGTTGAGGCTCTAGGGTGGTCCACAGGGTGGAACAGCAACTTGGGACTACAATCAGAACCCACCCAAGCTTAAGTGCCATGTAAATTTACAGACTTTAGGGCCTACCCCAGTCATATATTTAACATTTAAGGATCACGTCAGCTCTATGCAAGACTGGTGAACTGATGGCACCCATTGAGAGTCAACAGGTTGGGAATAGAGGGCTCAGAGTGAGGTGGAAGATGTTGGACTGGAGTCTTAGAATCATTCCCATCCAATCCTTTACATAGCTGGGTCTATAACTTAAAAGGAGAGTAGCCAGCTTAAGTTTTGTGTGAATGATATGGTTACACAGAACATCGCAGTGATGACAGATGGAAGGCCTATGCTTTTTTTCATTCTCCAGTTTTGTTGCCCAGCTCCTGGAGTCAGGGAACTTGGGTAAGTAGTACTTTGCAGGTAGAAAAAGTCCTCAGGTTCCTCAACTGTAAAAATGAGGATCAAATGAGATCAAGTGCATAGAGCAGTGCCTGGCACATAGTAAACGCTCAATAAATGTTAACTATTATTTTATTATACAAAGACATTCATTAAATTCCAGCTTCCTGTACAAAAGCACTGGTGTTAGGGGTTTAGGATACCAGGAGGATAACTGATGCCCCTGGTCTGGAGTGGCCTGCATTATATCAAGTCAAGAAGGACATCCAGGTCAGGTGGCAGCGTGGCTAGGGAGAGTTCTTCAAGCCTAGTCAGGAACCTGGTCTAAGCCCTGGGAGGTAGGTAAGGGAAGAGATGGGCCAACCCAGATTTCAGTGGCAGTGAGTACAGACCTGATAAGTTGAGCGGATTGGGGAGTAGGCAGGAGCCCAGGTTGCGTGAAGGAGCTGGGCCAGAACTAGTAGGACCTGGGGATGGGACCAGGCTGCTTGCAGCAGGGCGATGGTTCAGTGGCTGCTGCCGTCGTCTCCTGTCCTGGCTTCGGGGCTCTGAGTGGAAGGGACACAAGCAGATAAAAAGGCAAATAAGTGGGGCACTGAGAAAGCCTTCACTGACCCACTGGCTCCCCTTGCTTAGAAGATACCTGTTTTCAAGCTTGTCATCAGACCAGCATTCCTCTTCTGAAGTAACTGTAAGATGGGTGGAAAGACCTAATTATCCAGTTCTCAGCCAGCCCTCATCCTACCAGTTCATTCTTTTGGCAAAGAAGTTATTGAGCTTGGCTTCTAAAACAGCTTTCCTAGGTTCTCTTACCTCTAACTGCTCCTCTTAACTCCCAAATCTCTTTTCTAGCCCTCTTCTCCTGAAATCCAGCTATAATTGTCCACTGGACATTTCTCTCTGAAAGTCCCCCACAACCAAAACAACTCATTCTCTCTCTTCCTCTTCCATTCTTCCTTCTTGGTGGAAAACCTAGCTGCTGGAAACTTTGTTTCATCTTTCTACTCCTCCCTTATATTTAGATTTGTGTTTAATCAAATCCTGACAATTCTACCTGTGCATTCATCTGAGTTCTTCCTTTATTCTCCCTCTCCCTTGTCATTGCCAGTGTCCAGATACAGGTACTTAACTCACTTAGGCTTTTGAAAAAAATTCCCTACTGGTCTCCCTCGCTTGAATCTCTTCCCTCGTACCATCTGTCTTTCACACAGGTGCCAGAAATTATTCTAACACAGAAACCTGATCAAAAATCACTGTGGCTCAGGCAAGGGGGAAATACTGAAGATCTTTTAAAGGATAAAGTTTAAACCTTTTAACATGGCACCTTCAGAGCCCTTCCCACTATGGTTCCAGACTACACATCCTTTGTAGGATGCTGAGAGAAAGAACAAACAAGAAAGTGAAAGCCTGTGGGACATTTCTAGGTTTGAGTCAGAAACAGTGATAAGAAAGAAGGTCTGAAGCAAAACAGGCAAATGATGTAAAAAAAAGTCAATGCAAAATGGAGAAGTAGGCATCAAGGGAAAGATACTAAGGGTACAACCCAGGAGTCTTGTCTCTAATGAGAGTTTCAGGATAGGAGACAAAGTCTGATTGAGGAGAGAGGCCTGATAGGGAAGACATACAGTCTTTAAAGACGGTATTTTAATCATCACTTAAAAGACCATCTTAAGACCTGGACAGGCCTGCCTGTAAATTTGTGAATGTGAGTACACAGCTTTGTTTCTCATGTTTTGACTTTTGTCCCCTGGTATAATCTAGGCCTCTCAGTCCCCATTGAGATAAAAAGTAAAAGGAGGAGCCCCAACTATTTCTTGGTTCTGAGCTATAGCAGTTCTGAGCTACATCAGTTTAAGGCTGAGTGCAGAAGTGATATGTGATCAGTTCTGCTTCCAGAGGTTATGAGATGATATTTTATGGTAATCAGCTATAGGTTCCATTTTGGGGGAGGCAGGATAGTATTGGGGCAAAGATCTGAGAGTTTGAGCCATACTGACTTCTCCTTGAATGAGTTAGAATGAATACTTCAAGGTCTTACAATTTAGAGGAGCAGTTATTTGACTCATGCCTAGGTCCTGTATCATTCCCCCTAAACATCTTTGGAGCTGTCCCTACATGTAGTACCCCAGATCTTATTGAATCCCTGGGATGATCAAAGATCTGATTTGTGCCCTCTAAGGGGTAGAAAGGTGAGACAAGTATTCAGGCTTCTAACTTCTTGCCTTTTATTCATTCAGTACATATTTGCTGATCACTTAATACGTGCCAAGTACAGTGCTAGGTGCTAAGGGAGTAAGATGTGTTAGGGGACACTTGGAGCTTTTGTTTGCAGTGGAAAAAGTAAATGTGGTGACAGTGATAGAGGCACTCCTCCTGTGTCCTGGTGACTCATTCCACAGGAACCTCCACTCACCATTAGACGTTGGCTGCTCTATCTAAAGTTATCTGTC